CGGCCGCGGCGCTCGCGGCGGAGCAGCGCGCGCTGCGTTCGGCGCTGCGGCGCGTCTGCGACGCGCTGTGGGGCGGCGCCGACGCCGGCGGCGCCTCGTCGCCCGCCGCGACCCTGCCACCGCCCTCGGCGGCGGCGGCCGCAGCGGCCGTCGCCGCTCTCAGGTCCGAGGTTGAGGCTTTCGAGGGCCGCGCCGATGACGAGCTCGCGAACGACGTCCTCTCGGGTGGCACCTTCTCCTCGGCTTCGCCGCCGCCCCCGCTCCGCCTGCCGGCAGCCTCCCCGACCAGCCCGGCCGCGAGCGCCGCCGGCGCCGCGGCGTCCGCGCTGCTGCCCGCGTCGACGCGCGCGGCTGTCGTGGACGCCGCTGACGAGGACGGCGCTGATGTCAGCACGACGGCGGCGCTGGGCGGCCACGCCCTGGACGGCTGCGGCCCCGCGTCGAGCTGCAACGACCCAGGATCCTCGGACCCCGAGGGGTGGGTCGAGATCGACTCGTCGTCTCCGAGGTTTGGAGCGGCGCGCGGCTGAGGCGGTGTTGTTGGTGTGTCGCGCCTCGGCACACCCCACAACGAGGAGTCAACTGGCTGCGCATTATCCACGCACGGGAGTTCCCGGCATGTTGCATGGCGTTGGGTAGTGCCGGATTCTTGGATGTTGATTACCCGGGATGCTTCAGCAGCCGCTGAAGCATCCAATCCAGGGCCGCACGGCGCTCGCCTGTCGGCAGCTGCTTTCTTATTTTTCAGGGCTGGGTGTTGGGCTTGAGACGCGACCCCCTGGGGGCCTTTGCGCCTGCACCACCTAGCCGCCTTTGGCACAGATTTGTACTCTCTCGTCATCATGTCACCTACCACAGGCATGATGACCCTGCCAACTCACTGGCTTGTTGTACCCGCCTCGATACACACATATACACACTGGTGCATCGCGCTGCATAGCAGACTCCGCACATTCAGGGCTGTTGACCAACATGGGCGGGAGAGCACCGGCCTCCCGCGAGCCAGTGCCCTCAAATTCACGAGCACGGGCGGCCCCCACAGAGGGGCGCAGCGCTGCTCGGCGCGATGTGTCAGACGCCGCAGCTGCGCCGCTGCGGGCCCCGGCTGGGGTGTCCCCTCTGGCTCCGCTCAAACCCAGGGGGCTCCGCCCATGGTCGCGCGTGCGACGCGGCGGGCGGGGTTGTCGAGCGCGTCGGCCCTTTGGCCTTTCTTACTGCAACGGTCCAGCAGGCAATGCGGCCCGCTAAGGGGCCGCGCCAGCCATGTACATGATTCTCGCCACGCTTGGCGGCAGCCGCAACAGTGCCCCTGTCCCCATTTGGGGCCGCTGCCGCCTGTCGCAACCTTTTGTGCCCCCCACCCCCACCCCTCCTGCACGCGTTAGTGCAACCAATAAAATGGGCACCTTCATGGCGTGTGCGTGCGTCAGATGCACGTGCGCGCGTGCACGCGTGCGCTTTCGCATGATTCCGCATCCATCCACGCACGCCGAAATAGGCTTTGGTCGATTGCATGCCACCTGCAAGCCCTCTCCTTTCCAAAGCAATGGCACGTTCCAATTGTGTAACACGGACCCGGGGCAAGCGGCCGTGCATCATGGGTCAAACACCTCAGTCCACGGTTTGACCAGCGGTTACTCATAGATATCGTCGAGCTCTTGCTGAGTCGGCTGCCGCGCAGCCCCAATCCCAAAGCCGCTGCTATCCGAGGGGCCCCGCGCCCGCTGCTGCTCCAGGTGCTGCTGGTACAGCTGCCGCAGCCGCTCCGCCTGTTGTGAGACGTTTGGTGCAACAGTGTGGAGAGTGTGGTGCGTTGGTGAAGAGGCTCGCTTTGAAGGGGGGAAGGGAGGCATGGGCAGAAGCGCAAAGGTGCTGCAAGCCGCCTCGCCTGGCGCCTATGAAAGGCAAGCGACCAGCGTAGTCGGTGAGCGCGGAACGGCAGGAACGCGAGCCGCTCAACAAACCAAAGTCGGCAGATGCGACGTCGGCGAACGTCAGGGTCGTCCATGGTGCGTCCACTGACTTTCGCACCTGCGCTTCGCCACTGCTTGGGGGGTCGGCTGTGGGCTCCTCTGTGCCACCCTCAAGCTGCTGCTCGGCCTGCGAGGCACAGGAACAGCAGCAGCGGCCGGCCAGGTATCATTTCAGCCATCCATATCCTGTCGCCAACGGACAAGCTAACCTTACCGGAATATCTGCAACCTGGCTGCCACTCAATCCACAGTTGTGAGGCGTCCACATCTGCAGGGGTGACGTCCACTCCCCTCGACAGTGACAACCCATCCTGGAAAGCCCATCCGCCGCCACAGCCAACTCTTCAGTGCTTTTTGAAACACGCTAGTAGGAGAGCACTTTGCAACGGCCGGCCCAGTCCCTGTGCATCCAGACATACTCTCACATCCTGACCCAGCTGGCCACTCGGGGAATGCACCGCCACCACCCAAGCCCCACTCCTGCTTTCACACCGGCCCACAGGGCACCACCCATACCCTCATGTGCACCAATCAGCTCACTCACTGACCTGCGTTAGCAAGTCTTCCACGTTCACCCCTTCCAGAGCCTTCTGCAGGCCCTTGCCTGCCGGCTGCTGCCGCAGCAGGCTGCACAGCAGGTGCGCGGTGCCGACGGCCCCGCCCGCGCTGCTCGCACCCGCCGCCGTCGTGACAGCCTGTGCGGAGCAAGGGTGTGAGGCGGGGACGGCTTTGCTGCGTGAATTCGTGTCAGCTAGCCCATGCTGCACTGAGCATGACCTGCCCTGCTCTGGCCCGCCCAAGGCTTCCCCGCTTGCACAGCACAACGAGGCGAGCTGCACACGCCCCCACGCCCACCCCACGCTGCAGCATCCGCACACACACCTCGAGTCCCTTCTCAGAACACAGGAAAACGACGCCCCATGCCCGTTCAGCGTCTCACCTGCAGCGCGGGGCTGAACGCAATGTCGCTGCCCTTGAGGGCGCCCTCCCCCGTGGGCATCACCCTGATCGCGTCCACCCGCGCGCGCGCCGCGTCGAGCGCCAGCCCGTGGCGGTGCAGCAGCTCGGCGGCGGGGGTCCCGGGGTTGGACAGCAGGCCGAGGAGGAGGTGCTCGGGCTCTGCAGGTGCAGGAGCGTGGCACGGCATTCCAGATGGTCGAGAAGCCCACGCGTTGAGGGCGGCGAGCTGTTGTCATTGCAGGTCACTGTTGGCTGAGTTCACAGCTGCGGCGTTCGAAGCTTGTGATCCGTCATGTGTCTGTGATTCTCACCTGCAAACATGAGGCCCTGCCTGCAAGCTTCGCTGCGAGCTTGCTTGACAGCGGCGAGGGCGGGTGCAGAGAGTGTGGAGGCGCGGGCGGCGACCGTACGAAGTCGCCGCAGCGCTGGCCGTGGCTGAACTGGGCTTTGAAGCTTCCAGGCGCCGCGAGTGATCCGGGATGGAAGCTGCTGCATGGTTCCTTCCGCTCAAATCAAATCCTGCACGAAACGGCACTGTACGGGTGGCGAGATCAACACCGGCTGCAGATCTCACTCCTGATACAAAGAGGGCAAATTATGTGCAAGCTGTTGGTAGTATGCCAAATATGCGATCGCAAGCAGGCTACAGCTTCCCAGGAGAGCCGGTTCATGTGACACCTGGTGACGGCCGTCTCTGACAGCGCCGACAGTGTGCCGGGCTGACTGGACTGCAGGCTTGCGAGGCCTGCACAAGCAGAAGCAGTCAAAGTTGGCCGTCACTGTTGCTGAAGCTATTTGCCTCTACACCAGGCAGGCACATGAGACGTGTATTCCACACGAGAGGCATACCGACAAACGACTTGAGATGTGCGCTTGCATTGAGGGGCTTCGGGTGCGCCTCATTTAGGATCATTGACTTGATAACCAAGGGGGCAACAGCTCCAAGACAACAACATCCTTCTCATGCTTGATCTTTGGTATGAAATTCCTGCATGCCACTTTTGATAAACAGCAAGTCAAACAAACGGCGCACAGCCCAGGCATGGCACGTGCAAGCACCCAATTGTACCAGGTAGCAGCAGCAGCAACAGTCCAGCAGCGCCAACCCTCTCATCGTGCCTTGCCTGCCTTGGTCCGTGGGCCCGCCACCCCGCCGGTGATCCTGGCAGCGTGCGCCTCGTCCCTCAGTGTGCGCAGGCCCCAGAGGCATGTCAGCAGGATAACGGCGCTGCCTGCAGACAGCAGGAGTTCAAACCTCAAAGTAAGTGGCGCTGCATATGGAGCACATAAGGGAAAGCCAGCTGGCTGTGCACGAACAATAACATCTGTGCCCGCGTGGTGTCTGACAACATCCGCATTCAATCCTGCACACAGTGAATTGTGGGTGATGCGCAGTGCGAGGCCACCCCCGCTGGATGCGCTTGCGCAAAGCCGGTGACATCACATTGAACTCACCAGCCACGTCCAGCCACATCCAATTGTTGAACATGGGCTTCACGTAAAGATAACGGAAATTGAAGAGAGTGAAAAACGGCAGCATACCAATGGAGAATGCCTATCACAGGTTCGTACGTGGGTGGGGGAAGTTGGGCGGCGGAGTCTGTGCGGATGTTGAAGGCGGCAATTGTTGATGGCAGGAGGTGGGCGTTGCTTCCAGTCGAGGTGGGATGGCGCGGTGCAAAGCATACACGTTGTGCAATTGAATCCTTTGGATGGAGACCTGCAAGTTCTGTGTGCCCACTCCTGCTTGGGTCCGCCTGGCAGCAGCTTCGCTGCTGCAAGTCACTGCAGAGCCCGCCATGCATCGACAACCCACCATGTACACCGCTCGCGTCATCTTGGCTGTAAGGAACAGCACCCCACACATCGTTGCTTGGGCACCAAAGCAGGCCACAAACAGCGTGGTCGCGTCTGTGATCTCAGGTTTGAGCATTGTGAGGCCGATCACGTGGGCGGGTGCCACCAGAGACCAGATGCCGCCAGCGAGAAACACCGCTGCCAACACGTGCTTTGGCTCCATGCTGCCTTGATGCACGTATGTAACTGGCAACGTGCCCGGGTGTGTCGGGGCTGACACGCGGATCAAGTTTTGCCTCTTGCCGGAGGGGAAGCGGTAGGATCGCCACTGCTGACGGTGCTGCCCAGTGCTGCGCCGTTTCGCAAACCTTGGGAGGCGAGGTGGTGGGACAGTTGCACTAGATAAAACTCACGCTGTGGCAGCACGTTCGTTGTCAACGAAAGCGCAGCGAACCAGACCTGCGACCGATCTTGCTGTGTGCGGCAGCTTTGATTGAATGCTTGTATCGAGACAGGTCTGCATCAGCGGCACAAAGGCCGTGGGCCGTAGCTGCAAATCGCCATTTGCATATTCTCGCGGTGGCCACCACAGCAGCACCGGCAGCGGCGCGCGCGGCATGGCGTCCGCAGGTCTGGCTTGAGCCATTGGCAAAGTGCAATGCATCACGTTGTGCGCATGCTTCATCATGATGCAGCTGCTGCCTCCGCCTGGGAGTCGCGGGGTCACGCTGCCTGTCGTGTGTGTTTGAACCCCCACTCATCCACCATGTCCCTCTCAGCGCTGCTCCATGGGGACACCTTCTTTCTTGACGACTTTGCTGTGCGGCAGTGGGACGACCCGAACTACTCAGGTGTGCTGTGAGGTTGGGCGTCCCCAGCCACTTGCTTTTGCGGCGGCGACGACCGTGTCGGCGGCCGCAGCAGCAGATCTTCTTGGCAAAGAGAGTACCTTACCCACCACGCCAGCCCATCAGCAGCGTGCCGCATGTTTTCTCGCCGCCACTCTGCCTACATGAAATAATTCGGCGCCGTAACGCTCCCCAGCTCCCCCCTGCATGCACGCACACACACACACACACACACGCACGCACACACACACACACACACCACAAAAACAACACCTGCGCCCCCAGGCACTCGGATATCACATGACAAGGCGGACTTTGTGGCGAAGGTGCACGAGCTGTTCAAGCAGAGCGGTGCCAAGCTGGTAGATGGCTATGCCCCCTTCTGCAAGCACGGTACGGCTGCTTGGGATGCAGAGCCGTTGTTGCGCCGTAGCGGGTGAAAGATGGAGGGTGTGGGTGCCACGCATTCTGCTCGAGTGCCCACCACCGCTGCCAGAACCACATCATTTCGCGCACAAACAATTCAAAATCGTCCGCACAATTGGCGCAGTATTCGTGCCAAACTTTGTGGGTGCCAAGCTGGGGGCGCTTGATATAACCCCCGACAACCGCCAGCTGCTGCGCTCTGCGTACACGCGGCGCCGGCCAGAGGAGCTCGCCGTGCTGACCAGGCATGAGCCCCTGCCTGGATCAGCAGGGTTTGTGTGTGTGTGTGTGTTTGTGTGTTTGTGTGTGTGTGTGTGTGTGCACGTGTGTGTGAGTGTGCATGGAGGGTGTGTCCTCGGGGCGCAGCCATTCCCTGTTGCGCATATGACCAGCATGGCCCTTACAACCGCTCAGCCATGCGCCCCAGCTGCCACCTGGGCGTGATACGAACGCCCCCGGCCAACCTCAGACGGGGCCGTTCCTCAACATCGCTCCCCCCGCGCGTGCCTGCTTCACCCAGGTGGTTTCCAGAGGCGGCGGTGCAGCCCGTGCCCGTGGCGGCCCACCTGGATCTGATCTTGTACAGCCGGGAGCAGCTGGTGGAGGAGTACAGGGCCATGCCGTCAAAGAGCGGGGGGCAGGTGGGTTAAGGCGTACAGTCCTGCGATTGGCGAAGTGGCACGCTTCATGCCACACTTGCGCGCTGCGTGCTGCACATACGTTCTGCGCATGTATGCTGCGCACAGGGCGTATGCATGGCATGCGCCGGACGTGCATGTGACGCCTGCGGACGCATGCCTAGTGCTGGGTTGAGTGCGCCGCCAGCGTGAAGCCCGCTGCGATCGTGCTGCAGATCGTGGGATGCGCGTCGTGCCAGGGTCTTGCATAGCTGCCCAAGGACCCTCCAGCCAACAGCCCTGCCTCAACACTTCCCGCTGCTCTGTCCATGGCCCCAATAATGACATCTGCTGCCCTTGGGAATCAACGGTGGCTCCACTACCCCGTCACTGTGACCGGCCCCCACCCTATGTGAGGCAGGACCCCGACCTTCTGCTGCCCAAGGTACCGTGGGGCATCATCTCTGTCAAAGCGCAGAACGAAGACTATGAGACACCCGTAGGTCCTTGGCTGCGGCGACACGCTCCACGCCTGACCAGGATTCAAGGGTTTGTTTGGGGTTGATGAACCAGCTCCAGGGTCAAACCATACTTGGTGTGCTTGCAATGCCATGACAATTGACAGCACAATAAGCGTCCACATGACTGATCAGGGCTGAAGTGCACGGTCCCCACCGCCCTCAAACCGACCCGGTGAGCTGCAGATGCAGCCGATCACCATGATACGAAACGCCCTTGGTCGCGAGGAGGGCGGCAGTGGGGTGCCCCTTAACAGGTGCGGCGACAGGTGCATGTGCCGTTCATTGCAGCCAGCTCTGCTGGCTGTTGGCCGGCATGCTGCATCGTCATTCACTGCTCGCTCGCAGAGCGTTGCAAGTTACTTCACAAGCAGGGGGCCAAAGATATTCACCCGGCGCCTGCATGTGCATCCGGCCTTTCTGCAGGTTTCCATGTGCTGACCTGGGTACGGATACTTGCATCAACATTCGCGGTACATCTCAACCTCCCATGCTCGTCCTCAATCACACTTGCTTGAACACACACCCAAAAACACTCACACTCACCCCCCACACACAAACACACACCCCTGCACACACACGCACATGCACACGCCCGCGCCTGCGCCCACACGATTCTCAGGGATGCATACGAGGCGTCCTGCAACTACTGGCAGCACCATGCGCCCATTGTGGCTGGAGAGGAACCCAGCGGCGAGTAGGGCCGGCAAGGGAGTATCATGGGCCCCCCAGCGTGTGCAAGTGGGCAGTGGGCCCCTGCGAGGTTCGCTCAAGCTGCCCAGCCAAGGCAGCTTCTGAGTAATGTCCACACAAACAAGTCGGCTCTCGAGTTGGTTGCCTGCATGAATAAAACTTGTTTCACAGCTGCAAACCTCACAGCAACATGCTGTAGGGGCATCAAAATATATCCAGTCGTCTTACTCAGGCGCGAGCAGGCCTTCATCACATTCAGAGCTCGGTCCCTGGCAGGCAGCAAGGGTTTGCCTGCTGCAGCCAATATGCAAAAGGAAAATGGAAAAAACTTTGGGCGCTTTGCAATAGCGGCGTGAGCGCAGGTTGGGGCAGGAGCCCGACCCAAATCGCCTGCGCAAGTTGGTTGTTTTTTGGAGGTTTTGGCGCCAACGTCTTGCTCCATTGCTGGCTGGGGGTTGCCGCTGGGCCGAGACACAACCTTAACAATGTGCGACAACTTCGCCCTCTGCCTTTCAGTCTGGTGCTGGTTTGAAATGCTGACATGCTGTTTTGGCGGCTGCCGCCTGACCGCCCAGCACCTTGGGTTGATATACACCGTCCGCCTGCCCAGAGTTCCCATTGCGAAGCAGCACCTGACAAAGGCATGGCCATCGAGCTTGTTATAGCACATTGCAGCCTGTAATAGCTGAGCCCCTACGGTACCCTCAGCGCTAGATCGCCAAACAGTAACCGTACGCCTGATTCAAGCCGACATATTTCACTCAACCGCGAAATATGGCGCCTGCAGGTAGACACGCGTGTGCCGGATCGGGCCTTGCGGATCTCGTGCGGCAACAACCGCTTCCTCCGTAAACACTGCGTACCTCACTTGAGGGGATGAATCGAGCTCACTAACATGCAATGAGCACCACACGCTCGCCTTGTTTTAGCAGGCTCCGAGGCCGCAAGTGGCGAGTTGCCCCGCCCACTCACAGGGCGCAGCAAGCAGACGTGGGCCGACGAGGTCGAGGAGAACGGTGGGTTGACAGTGCAATGCCCCGACATGAGCTGCCAAATGTCCTTGGCACCATGCCGCGCCAGGGACGCGGGCCGTGCGTGCTGCGCATGTCGTCCTCGTCGCCTGCATGCTGAACCTCGGCTGAGTCGCACACACGCCTCCCCAAACACAGCTTTGGCTGACGGCTTTGGCTGATTGTAACATCGCTTGTGCCTGCATGCCTCTTCCCGCCTGCCAAACGCAGACAGTCTAAACGAGGTGACCTTTCCTAGCGAGCACATCGGCGCCGGTGCAGCACCACCCAGTGCGCCATCCTCGTACCATGCGCCGGCCCCCAGCAGCCCGCTGCCGCAGGCGGGGCGCATCGCCGCACTCCCCCAGGCGCCACCCCAGCAGCACACGCAGGGAGTGCTTTACGCCATACTGCTGCACGTTGTGCCGCCGGACGCCCCCAGCGAGGCCGTCCTTGACCTCTTCCGCGGAGCGCAGGTGCGAGGGAGGAGGCGGTTGCTGTTGCTTCATGCTGCATCTCGTCCTCTCAATGGCATGGGGATTCCCCGGCGTCCATGCATGGTGGGCCTTGCGTGCTCCCCGTGTTGATTCCCCCGGAGAGCACCTTCCGCTCCCACCCCTGCAGACACGCACGGCATCAGCTTGTCCCAACACACATCCCGACCACCTCCCAGCCGCCGCCCACCACCACCCAACCGTCCCCAACCACCTCCCAAACGCCTTGCCTGCGCAGGTTCGCGGCCTGCGCCACCGCTCAACCCCAGAGGAGCCCTGGACAATCATTGACTTTGAAGACCCTCGTGACGCCAGCGCCGCCATTTCAGACGCCGCCGCCGGCCGCCTGGTGCTGCGCAACGCGGCGGGCGGCGCCATGCGGCTG